TAGATGTGGCCACCGTCCTGGGGAGACAGCGTGAGGTCTCCAACGACCAGGCAGGGATCGGGGCACTGTGGCACAGATGCAGCAACTCAATCCCGCAGCCTTGGTGCTGGGGCTACGGGTGGGCTGGAACTGCCCTTGTGCAGCCTGGCAGCTGCCTCCTGCAGGTGTGGGGTTAGTCAACCCTCGCCAGGTGCGGGACTTGCCAAAGGCCACTGGGCGGATGCCAAGACCGATTCCTGGACGCGGCGGTCCTGCTCACTTCGCCGAGGCCGTCGTCCTCCCCTGCGTCCCCTCGGGACGCCGAGACTCAGGTCTCAGTCGCTGTGGCCCGCAGACAACAGTGATGACATGCTGGTAGCGAGAGAAACCGGTGGGAACGCCATCAGCGCCGTCCGGCCCAGCAGCATTGAGGCCCACATCGCTTGGCTCAAGCAACAGCTGGACGACCTGGACCAGGCTTGCGCCAGTCCCTCCGCCAGAGTCCGGTGTGGCGGGAGAAGGACGACCTGCTGCGCAGCGTGCCTGGCATCGGAAACCAGATCTCTCTTACCCTTCTGGCATACCTGCCGAACTGGGCACTCTCAACCGCCGACAGATCGCTTGCCTGGTGGGCGTGGCTCCCTTCAACCGGGGACAGTGGTTACCTGCGGGGCAAAACGCACCGTCTGGGGTGGACGGGCCAGGGTCCGCCAGCCCTCTACATGGGGGCGTGGTAGCAGCGCTCAACCGTCATAAGGGACTTCTACCAGCGTCTGTTGTCTGCCGGCACTTGCCGGGAGCCGAAGAAGCTGGCTCTGACCGCGTATGCGGAAGCTGCTGATAATCCTCAACTCCATGCTCAGTACGGCTCTGTCCTGGAACCACCGGTGGGGCGGCCACCAAGTCCTCACCCATGTCTATTGTACTTTCAAGACAGTTGCTATTGGTGCTCCTTTTCCGGGGTTGGTTTCGTGTTTCAAAACCATTATCCCAGATTCAGAGGAGCACCCTCTGGCTTCTTCAAGGGCTGTCCCAAAGGCCGTCCTTCGGTGGATTCGGGATTAACCAAAGGAGGATTCTTATGACCACAATCAGCCAAGCAGACCCGGTTGCGGAGACCGTCAAGAACATGATGTCCCCGAACCGTGACGGGGCGTCTTACGTAATGAAGCGCTACATCGTGACGGACTTGGAAGGCGGCAACGCCAACTCCTTTGCCTTTGCCGTCCGGAATCCCGAGGATGTCGATTGCGTCGTTACTAACGTGGTCTTGAACATAGAGACCGTTGGAGGCATGGCGTCTTCCGTCCTGGACGTAGACGTGGCCGGTGACGCCACCGCAACCGGCAACAAGATCATCGACGGCCTCGACCTGAACAGCGTGGGAGTGTCCGACCGCCACAGCAGCGCCGGGGCCAACGGCGGCGCTCCCAGGAAATGGGACAAGAGAGGCGGCGGCGACGACTACGTCACCGGCAAGATTCTAGCCCGGAACGCCGCAGCCCTCTCGGGTAAGGTAATCATCGAATACGTGCCGCTGGTCTGAAGCGGCGTCTAATAGAACATGCACCGGGAGTTCGGTATGAATTTACTCAAGCCGCGGCCCCAATCGGCCGCCGGCAAGGCCTATCCCGTCATCGCTGGGTTGGCGATTATCACCATCGGCGGGCTGGAGGGCTACGCCCTTAGCCAAGGCATCAACGGAAACGCCTTGACCGCCTCCCTTGCCGCCATCGCCGGGTTGGGCGGGGCCAGCGTGGGCAGGCTGCTGCGATGACCGCGCCTCGTACCTCCGACGGTGAGGGTCCGCCCGCACCGACACTCGCTTCGCACCTACGCTGCTCAATGCCCATGACTCCAACACATCGAACGTTAGAGAGGACATCGCCGTCCCCAACAAGGGAAAGAAGGTTCGTGTACTGCGGGTAAGGGCGATTCAAGAGCGGGCCGACGGCCGTCACTTATACGAGGTTTATTTCGGCGCGGGCGAGACCATCGGCAGCAACCCCGAAAAGGCGGTGGACGTACTGGACATTCCCAACCTGGGAGAGGCCTCTACGAGGACTTACCTCAGAGAAGAAGGCCCCCGGGGACTAGCAGGGAATAATGAGCAACGCACACTGCAGGGTGGTGCCGACGCAGTCCTTCCCCGGGCGTCACAAGATAATGGTAAGTCGACGTCGAGTGCGCGCGGGAGGCTGATGATGAGTGTGAGAGTACGCCGCCGCCCTTACGTGATTAAAGTCCGAGAGGTTGAGTCTGGCGCCACTACGGACCGGCAAACGCTGTTGACGCCCGCCAAGGGTTACCGGGCCAGGCTGGTGCAGGTCAAGGTATTGCAGGACGCCAGCGACGGCCGCCACCTTTTGGAACTTTACTTCGGCGAGGCCGACAATATCATCACCGAACCGAGCAAGGGCATCGATCATTTGGCGTCGGTGCGTAGGCGAGGGCCGACGGTTTGTATTGAGGGGATTGTTGGGCTTGTGGTCAGTGTTCTTTGTGTTTTGGTGTGACGTTAGTTTTGTTTGTGCCAGACGAACGGATCCGCGTCACGAGGGGCTATTCCTGAAGGACCAAGGACCGCGCGGCCTGCGGGACGAGGTCCTCAGCGCCCGGTGGCGGGGGCGCCCAACCGACAACCCACACAAAATACTTATCCAATACACCGATGGAAGGACGTCTAGTCCGTACGCCCTACATCCCGGTACCTTCTTCCCGAAAAAAGAAAGAGGACGGATTTACCTGGAACATCTCCCTCGTAGCTGAAAAATTCACCCTCTGAAGGAAGGCCAGGGTGAGGGCCGGCGCTTTCATTCTGACGGACACTCTCCACAGGAGACTTATATGGCACGCGAAGCGTACCGTTCGCTATACGGCGATCTCACCAAGTTAAAGGACGACAGCCTTCTCAAAGACCCGGCGTCCGGCTCCGGGGATGACGACGAAATGTTTCAACTTCTCCTGGCGGTGTCCGATTGGGTTGACCACTACTGCACAGGAGATTCTACCCACCGCGTTCACAACAACTCCCCCACCCCCCCAAACCAATAAAACCACACTTCACTAACTACACAACCCAAAAAATAAATCCAAACAACCCTCGCCACTCACCAAGAAAACAAAACAAACACAACCAAACCAAAAATAACAAAAAAAAAAAACACAACCACAAACAACACACCAACAAACAACAACAAAACCCAAAAAAAAACAACAACAAAAACCAAAAAAAAAACACATATCAAAACAACAAAACAACCCAAAAAAAACACCAAACACAAACCATAAAAACCACCACACACACAACACACAAAACACAAAAACAAACACAACAACCAACACCCACAAACACCAAATAACAAAAACAAACAAACAAAAACAAAAAATAAAAAAACAAAAAAAAAAAAAAAACCACCAAAAAAAACAACAAAACAAAAAACAAAACCAACAAAAACACAATAAAAAAAAACAAAAAATAAAACAAACCAAAAACACACACACCCCAAAACAAACAACAAAAAAAAAAACAAAAAAAAACAAACAAACACAAAAAAAATCAAAAAAAAAAAAAAAAAACAAAACAAAACCAGATAAAAAACAAAAACACACAAACAACCATCCAAACAACAAAAACACAACAAAAAAACAAAAAAACAAAAATAAACAAAAAAAACCACAAAAAAACAATAAACACAAAAAAAACACACACAAAAAACAAAAACAAAAAAAACCAACCAAACAAAAAAACAACAACCAACACACAAAAAACCAAAACAACAAAAACAAAAAAAACAAAAAAACAAAAAAAAAAAATAAAAACACAACCAACCAAACAAACAAAAAAAAAAAAAAAACAAAAAAACTAAACCACAAAAAAAAAACAAAAAACCCAAAAATACACCAACCACCACAAAAAAAAAAACAAAAACAACAAACCACCCAAAAAAACCCCAACCAAAACAAAAAACAACAACACAACTCCCTAATTCGTTGTTTTTTTTTGGGGGGGGGGGGGGGGGGGGGGGGGGGGGGGTGGGGGGGGGGGGGGGGGGGGGGGGGGGGGGGCGATTGACGGCGGCGGCGGCCCAAGACTGCCGGTGCCGGACTTGGTGTCGTTGGCGTCCTTGACCGAGGACGTGGATGGCGACAACACCTGCAGAAGAGTTTGGAAGGCGAAGAAAGAGTAATTGATTAGCCATACGAAGCGACCCGGCGGAGCAATTGGGGCCGCACTACACATCGCCCGCCATGGCCGCCCAACAATCCCAATGGTTCTTTCACCAAGGGGGAGCGGCGCTTCCGGGCGCACGGGACTTGGGGCCACCGGGAGTTCAAAGAGCGTAGCGGCGCCGTGGTAGATGACGCCGTCGTAACCCCGGACGGCCTGGCTATCACCGTCAGCGACGGGGCCCAGTTCGCCGTTGGCCAGACGATAATCATCGGCGCGGAGCAATTGCTGGTAGCCGGTATAGAAGAGAATGCCCTGTCGGTTGCCCGCGGCGCATCCCGACGGTTCCGGCGTTTACATCCTGCGCTGGCCCGCATCGGTCGAGCGGGCTGCTCTCATGCAAGCCGCCCGCATCTGGACCCGCGCCGCCGACTTCGAACCATTCTACGTTGATTCCGACGTTGATACGGACGTGCGCCTGCTTCTGGAGCCGTACCGCAAGGGACTGGTGTAGGTGAGGGTAACTTCCCGCCGGAGGAGTATTTGAATGGTGAAGGGGAAACGGTTAGAGGATAATCGCTCGTGAGTCATAGGGACTGGCGCAAGCACTGGTCCAATTACATGTGCCACTGGCTTGGCGCGGGCTTTGGGGCTTTGCTGATTGCCCAAGGCTTTGCGCCGTTGGGAATTGTGTTGACCAGCGTTCTGTGCGTGTACCAACTGGGGTCATACTGGCACAAGAGGGATACGTTGTCCCGCGACCTGTACGACCTGACACTGGGGTTCTTTGGCGGCGCGCTGCTGGGGATTGGTCTGCGGGTCGTTTCGTAACGGCATTGCCGGCGGCGGGTTAAACCTTCTTCTTCATCTCAGGGTCGTATTCAAGCTCGTCCGTGTAGGTACCGTCGGGTTTTTCCCACACCATTTTCCCATCTTTGAACACCGCCACAGCGCCGATGGTGTCGAAAGCCCGCTTCCGAGCGATTTTGGCGGCCCGGTGCATGGCCGCCTCGGCGCCTATCATGTCCGGGTCGCGCGGCCTTTTGACCTGTACCGGAGTTTGCTCGTTCTCTGAAGTCATTGCCTGCCTCCTTCCTCCAATAACACGGGCCTATCAGCGGAGTTATCGTAGACTGCCCACTCATCCACCAAGTCCCGGTACATGGAATTGAAGTTCTCCCATCCGCTATGAAACCGGCGACGAATTACGTCGTCTGGGATGTGATGGCCCCCCTCCAGCACCCGTTGGCGGACACGGACTATAGACGCTTCCGGGTTCGGGATCCGCAGGAAGTTACAGTTAACCAATAACATGATTCCCGCATTGGAATCTGCGGGCGTAGACGTCCGCTCAATGTGGTCTCGAAAGCGAAGCTCTCTTCCCTTCTAATGCGGTCGTCGATCATGCTCAGCATCAGCCTGCCCGCTCGCATCGCCTCGACTCCGGTTGAAGCGGGTTCAGCCCGGCAGCGATCAGGTCGGCGTTGATAAACGTCAGGGTGTCCGCTTCGTTCGGCAGGAATTCCATAGCGAAGGTGGTCTTACCCGCGCCGTTGGGCCCGGCAATGATGATTATCTTTTTGGAAGCGGGCATAGTTTTGAATCCCGATGCTATCATTGCAGGGGCCGGGCGTCTATGCAGACATGTGCTCTGACTTGGGTGAGCTTTGATGCGGGTCGGTGATGTTTGTAAAATAGGCTCGATGGGGGTAAAGGGACGGGAGAAGAGAGGTGAGCCAGTAGTGTCCTCATCTCTAAGGAGGAGGGCTTTAATTGGGCGATTACGTCATCAGTGATTCAGGGGTTAAAGTCTGGACAACGCCGAATAGCCATCCTCTGCTCAAGCATACCGATACGACACATCCAGCGTTCTTGGACAAGTTGGCAGAAATCTATTCAAGAGGGAAAGTAAAAGGTCTGCCAAGGATTCTCAGTGAGAATTCCGGGGATGCGCGTACTTGGCATCATTTCAGTCCACTGCTTAGGGACAAAATGGAGAAGGAACGGGTCCTGGGGAACCTCATCAGAGAGTCGTTCACCAGGTCAATTTCTTCTCAAGTCCTGGAAGTAATTCCATTGGCTGAGCTGATGTTCTGGCCTAAGCTCCGCCCTCCTCCGAGCCGGCCTGTAAGAGAAGGGCAATCAGAGCCGGACATACTGGTAAAACTGGGGCAACAAGCAGTGGTACTAGTGGAAGCTAAGGGCCGCTCCGGCGTTAGTGAAAAGACGACATACGACAAAACACGAGACCAAGTGATTCGCTTGATTGATGTCGGCTCCTGGTATGCAAAACAGGAAAACCTGCAAGTCCAGGATGCAGACCACTTCCGCAGTTACGTGATAGTGCTGCAATACGGTGATGCTCAAACGAACGCGGAGGAAGTCGTTGGACGTTATGCAGGAAAGCCTGAGGCCATTCGTCAAGCCCTGACCTACCGGTCGGACCTGGCTTCCGTAGACTGCCAACGGCTGTCTCGATCGGTGGCCTTTGTTCGATGGCCGGACCCAATGGGCCGGTAGAAACGATGGGGCTGCGGCGGGGAGATGGATGTCTCCGGGCGCAAGGTTCCGTTTGCCAACCTTTGAAGACTATCCTGTGAGGTAGTGATGCTTGCAATTAAATGCGACTCTTCCTGTCCTGCTGGCCCTCTTTTTAGTATTTGCCGTTTCCGCTTGCGACGCCGACTCCCCGGAGGAGGCCATCGGTGTTATAGCTACCTTCGTTCCCGCTGAGACGTTTGCTCCCGCTGAGACCCTCGCGCCCGCCGACACACTGGCTCCTGCAGCCACCTTCGCCCCGGCTGAGACCCTCGCGCCCGCCGAGACATTGGCTCCCGCCGAGACGTTCGCACCTGCGGAAACGCTGGCCCCGGCATCTACCCCCGCTCCGGCTGAGACGTTTGCGCCAGCCGAGACCCTGGCCCCGGCGGAAACGTTGTCCACGCCGGTGACGTTCACGCCAGCTGAGACATTGGCGCCAGCATCCACTTTTGCCCCGGCGGAAACGCTGGCCCCGGCAGAGACCTTGGCCCCCGCCGCAACTTTCGAACCGGCGGATACGCTGGCCCCGCCGCCTACGCCGGAGGGACTCACCCGCAAGCAGTACCGCAGCCCGCCTGAAATGACCATCGACCCCTCCCTGAGCTACACCGCGACCATCAAGACCAGCATGGGCGACATAGTGGTGGAGCTTCTGCCCGCGCCCGCGCCCAAAACGGTAAACAATTTCGTGTTTCTGTCCGAGGAAGGGTTTTACGACGGGACCATTTTCCACCGGGTCATCCCGGACTTCATGGTTCAAGGCGGAGACCCGACCGGAACGGGTACGTCCGGACCTGGATATTCCTTCGAGGACGAGTTCGCCCCGATGTTCATTTTTGACCGTCCGGGAATTCTGGCCATGGCCAACGCCGGGCCCAACACCAACGGCAGCCAGTTCTTCATTACCACCGTCCCGACTCCCCACCTGAATCGCGCTCACACCATCTTCGGCAGGGTGGTCGAGGGCCAGTATCGGGCCGAGGCAATTTCTCGCGTTCCCGCCGGACCCGCAAACCGGCCTATAGAGCCGGTTTATATCCTGACGATTGACATTGACTGAGAAACTATCTCAAAACTTGTCGCAGTACCCAACCCGTCATTCTCGCGCAGGCGGGAATCCACCGTACCGTATCCGCCGGGCAGACCACCTGAAATGGAACGCTACCTGCTCCGCTAGGGCATTTGCAAAGTCTTTACCGGTGGCAAATGTCTGAATCAGGATTAAAGGATACTCACGATTGGGAATATCCTGAAAATCCCCAAATCCGGCAAACCCTGATTCAGACAATTACTTTGCAATCGCCCTACCTGCTCTGCCCAGAACGTTGACAAGGGTTTCATGCTCGCGTACCATCCTTTTTAATTAATCTTGGCCCTGCTATGGGCTTCGTTTTCTGATACGACGTAGAGGTGGATGTTATGGCCACGGTGCAGGATCGGACTTCTTACTGGGAACAAGCCAAAGAACAGGGATTCGACCTTTCCTGGTTGAGTAAGCTCGAAGAAACCGTTACCCGCGAAAGTGTGGACGACTTCTCCATGAACAACACGGGCCGGGTCGAGGGCTCCATCCCCAGGGGTGATGTGCCCCAATTCGGCGCTTACACCTTCCGGACCAAGAGCGATGTATGGGGCTACAACCTGACCAAGCTCTACCAGGAATTCGTTACCCCGCCAGTGGAGTTCCGCCACTGACATTCCGTGGGACACCCTTCAGGCATTGCCCGATGACATTGAGGCTGCCGAGTGCCAGTTGGCTACCTTCTTCGCACAGGTGGAGTTCATCGCCTCCGACGTTCCGGGACGGTTCATATCCTCCATTTCGCCCGACTATCACGAGGTCCGTTTGGCGTTGCTGGCTCAGGTAATGGATGAGTCCCGCCACCTTGACGTGTTCCGCAAGCGGGCTCTGGCCAACGGCGGCGGTCTTATGCGTATGATTGACAGCGTCAGCGATGTGGTGGGCGGCAGCACCGACAACGCCCGCGAGTTCACCGAGTTGTCGTCCCGTTTGCACATTACCGGAGAGGGCAACGTTCTGACCCTGTTCCGGTTAGGCGAGTTGATGGCTTACAACGAAGCTGAGAAGGCCATCTACCGCCGGTGCGCCCAGGACGAGGCCAGGCACGTCGCCATCGGCGTGCTTCACCTGCGCTACATGAACGAGTTCAGTCCGGAGCGCCGGGAAGAGATCCATGGCTACTTGGACGAGGGCGAGAGCCGCCAAGCCACCGGCGCCGGTGGAGAGAACCCCGCGGGACAGCAACAGCTCACCAGCCAAGCTTTGGCGGTGTTGCTGGGCGGCGGCAAGGACAAGATTGACGAGGGGCAGAAGCTTCTGATGGCTATCAGGCAGCGCCAAGCCAAAGAGTACTTCCAGCGTCTCAAGTCGGCAGGCTTTGACGACCGGATCGCCAACGGCCGCGTGAACCCCGCTTTGATGGAGGCGTACAACGCCGCTCCGTAGCACGCACGCGATGCGATTTGAAGACCTCCCGCGAATATTCAAGGGAGGTCTTACTTTATCCGGCCCCATGCAACACTTCCGAGGAATGTGATGGCGACAAACAAGGAAGAGAAGTCGGAACAACCTCAAGACCAACAGTCCGAAGAGTCCTCCAACGAGGCCCTTGAAACCCCAGCCCGGCCTAGCTTGGACTGGATGAATGACACTCTGCAATGGGGAACAAAGGTGCCGCCGGGCAAGCACGGTATTACCATCGGAGACCTTCAGGTCGGCGTCTACGGGGACATCCCCGAGGTCAGCACCGATATGACCCGCCGGCCCAGGGGCGCTTTCCCCATTCCTGGCATCCCCCGAACAGACCTGTATGCGCTGAGCGCCAAGGTGGATATATGGGCCGACAACGCCGCGGACCTGTACGAAGAGGCTATCCAAAGGCGTTGGATGGCCCATGCCGACGTCCCTTGGGATGACTTGGCTCCTTTGCCAGATGACGTTGAGCTCGCCATGCGGCAACTCTGCACTGAATTGGCCCAGCAGGCCTCGCTGGAGACCGACGTAATCGGCCAATGGCTCCACCGTATGAACTACGCCTACTATGAGGTCAAGGCCTTCCTGGCGACTGAGATCTTCGACACTGGGCGCCATTTCGTTGCCTTCCGGCAGCGTGCCCTGGCGAATGGCGGCAAGTTGGGCTTGGAGAGTCCGGGCCACTTCAACCGGCGCTTAATGGAAGCCAGGGCCGGTTGGACCGAAGTGGCGATATACCTTTACATAATCCGCGGGACCCTCACCCAATTGGTCTTGCGCTACGCCGAGGCCTATGCTCAAAGCCCGGCGGAAAAGTACCTTTTCCGCAAGTGCTTGGAGGACAAAGCCCGCCATGTAGCCTATGGACTGGCCCACGTGAAGTACGCCGTGGAGAACAGTGACCCAAGCTTTGGCTTGGGGCTGAACAACCTCATGCGGGCAGTGGAGGGAGACCTGAGCCAGGAAATGCAGGACCCCGTGATTTGGGAGGCGCTGGCTATTATATTCGGCGGCGGTGTATCAAACATGGTCGAGGGTATGGAAGTGGTCAAGGGCCTCCAGCAACGGTTCATAGAGCAATACTTGGCTCGCATGAAGTGGGTCGGCATTCCCAAGACAGAAGCAAATCTTAATCCGGGCCTGGCTGTCTACCTCCGAAGGGAAGAAGCTACGCCGGCCTGAGGATACGTCGTGCCCATTTACGAGTACCGCTGCTTGGACTGTGGCGGAGTCAACAGTGTGTTCCTGCGTTCCATGAACTCGCCGGCCCCGTCGGGTTGCCGGTTATGCGAGGACGGCCGCCTGCAACGGATCATGTCCCGGGTGGCCTATGTACGGTCGGAGGCGGACAAGCTGGCGCAACTTGACCCCAAGTACTTCAAAATGGTGGACCAAGCCCTGGCCAACGCACCCGCCAATTCCGACCCGGACTATCACATGAACAGAATGGTCCCCTTCAGCCAAGCGAAGGAAAAGGGCGAACCCTACTTTAAAGAGTAACGGGCCAGCCTGTCACCGGCATCACCAAATACCAGGAGGTAGCAGATGAGCGCCCACGGGGCGGAGGCTTTGGTTTTCCCATCGGTAGAGTGGTTTCAAGGTTTGCAGCAAATGGTCAACGACGATCCCGAATTCCGCCGCATCGGTTCAGTGGACGCCGTCATGGGTGTGAAAGTGGGAGAGAGGGTCTTTGTAGTGACCTTCGAGGCTTTCGAGTGTTCCGATGTTAAAGAGGGCACCGACTACGACCTGATCGACGCCGACTTCTTCCTGGAAATGAGCGTGGAAGACTGGCAGGAGCTCATAGCCAATACCAAGGACAACGGCGGCGCAGATCGCACCCACACCCTCAACACACTGGACCTGCTGTCCGACGACGGCATCTCCAAGAACGCCACTGGCGATCAGTTGCGGGCCGACCTTTTCTTCAGGATCAACCAGAGCTTGCAGCACTTCTTCGACAGTTCCGCCAAGCTCGAGACCGTCTTCGCTCCTGACGACTAGCCGGGCAATATCCGGTTTTGCTCCTGTGACAAACGCGGCGACCCCGTCTAACAGGGCACCGCGTTTTGCTTGAAGTAAGAGGTGCGTTGCCCTTGAAAGTACATTCATTGGGGGCTTAGGATGAAACCGGATGAGGGATTGAGTGGGAGGTGTAGTTTATTAAGGGGCAAGCGTAACGGTGAGTGCTAACAAGGAGAAACCCGGCATAAACGGATCGACCCCCCGGCAAGCCAATGCATTTCAGCGGGTTGGGGGCCATGTCCAAGGTAAAACTTTGTCCGGCCTTATGGAGCTCGTGCCCCTGCTCGTCACGGTCGTCGTTCTGCTGTTCGTCATCGGTTATGCAGACCGTTTCATCCGGCCTTTGACATTCGTTTCCGGAAAACCTTGGGACTTTCCGGGCGTCGGAATCTTGGCGGGAATCGTCGTCTTCTACGCGGTTGGGTTGATGATCTCTACCCGGGTAGGCAGGAAGATTATGGACTGGAGGGATGTAGTCCTTTACCGGGTCCCGATAGTGAAGACGGTCTACAGCGTTACCCAACAAGCCACTACCACTTTGACCTCCCAATACCGGTTCACCTAGGGTGGTGTTCATCGAATGGCCCAGGGAAGGGATGGTGGCGATGGGGTTTGTCACCGGACGGGCTTACGCAGCGGATACCGGACAGTCGATAGTAGTCGTTTACGTCCCAACCGTACCCAACCCGACGTCGGGCAACATGGCCTTCGTCATTGAAGACGACGTGGTGGAGACAGACTTGACCGTGGAGGATGCGATGAGGCTCGTGTTCTCCGGGGGCATCGTCCTTCCTGACAGATTGTCCATGGCCAGGCTGCCCCGCGTGCGTACCGAAGGGGAACTCATCGGACAGTTCGAGACCGATTCTACGTAGCGCCCGCGGCGTGGTTGACGAAGGTGCGCTGCGCGGCGTCCGAGGCCACGCAGCGGCTGAGGCGCATTCAACCTTGAAGGGCGGCTTTGGCGTCCGATAGGGATGGGTGCACGAGGATGATCTTGTCAAACCCGCTGACCTTGAAAACCTCCTGCACCGGGTCCGTCAATGAACAGACCGCAAACTTGATTTCCTGCCTGCCCAAGGCCTTGGCTGTCAGCATGATTACCCTGAGACCGGCGCTGCTGATGTAAAGGAGCTTCTGCAGGTCTAGGATGACCGTCCGGTCATTCTCGTCAATGATAGTTTCCAACTCGTCCTGAAACGCCCGGGCATTGGCGCCGTCAACCCTGGCGTCAGTCCTTGCTATCAACGTAGTGCCGTCCCGTTCAGCTTCAATCGCCATTTATACCCCTTCAAGACCGCTTAATTGGACCAGCCGTGTCACTGTTCCAAGCTGTGCCGCACTGCTCGTCGGCCAAAGAGTGTTCCGAAATCCGCAACACTCTTTGGCTTTTAACACCCGTTCAGTAAGCTTGTCCCCAGACGGTCCCGCACTGGATGATTCACGAGTAAATATAGCAAATTGGCTCATATTTCCGCAATGACTATACCAATTGGAAACGCGGTTACCTTGAATGTCCAAAATCCGGAGAAACTCTCGCATAAAAATGGACTGACCACTGGATACTGGCTTGTGTGAACAATTTGCGATAGGCTTTACCGTACGGAGGGAGGCGTCCGTATGATCAGCATCAAGAGGAATGACCGGGGAGAGCCGGTCAATGCCCGGGGGATTCGGTCCCGTCCTTCTTCCATCTACACTCCCAACCATGAAACCCCATTCCGGCTGAGCCGCAGTAAGTTCAACGATTTTCTGCTGTGCAGAAGGTGTTTTTACTTGGACCGCGTAAAGGGGGTGATTTCCCCTTCAACGCCGGGATGGTCGTTGAACGAGACTACCGACCTGCTGCTCAAGAGAGAGTTCGACGCTTGCCGGAAAGATGGGTTGCCGCATCCCATCTTCAAACGGTCCGGCCTGGATGACGTTGTGCCTTTCCAACACCCGGACTTTGACAAGTGGCGGGACTCGTTACACCATGGCTTGGCGTTCAAAATCGAGGAAGGCAACATCGTATTGCACGGGGGAGTGGACGACGTCTGGCTACATAAACCTACGGGCCGGTTGATTATTGTCGATTACAAGTCTCAGGCTGGGCGCAGGCCGGTTTCAACGTGGCAATATCTGTCCAACGTCCACCACCAAGCCTACAAAGTCCAGTTGGACGTCTACGCCTACTTGCTGACCAAGATGGGCTTCCCGGTTTGGCCAACCGGCTACTTTTACGTCTGCAACGCCGACCGCAACGCGCCGTCCTTTAATGGGCAGTTGCTCTTCCAGGAGACCCTGGTGCCCTACAAGTGGAACATCGACTGGATCGATGAGCAACTGTCCGAGATGGTCCGGGTATTGGACTCCCCGGATATCCCGGAGGCCAACCCCTCGTGCGAGAACTGCGCCTACGCCCGGGCCGTGGCCCAAATCACCGCCGTTCCGACTTGACCCGCGGGCCCGGCGGAAGCAGGGTCCCCTCAACACGTCCCAGTACGAGCATCCCGCCAATCGCCAGTAGCCACACCAGAAACGCGACGCCGGAAATCCGGTGCACCGGGGTGGCCGCGTCAATCCAGATGAACTGCATGGCAACCCCAACGGCCACCGATGCAATCGCGAAGTACTTCAGCCAGCCGCCAACCCTCCAGTGATAGCCGGCGGCGCCCATCAACGCAAGGCCGGCCACTGTGAAGCCCACCTTCCCGGTAAACCATCGCAGAAATGCCAGTATCTCGGTCGAACGGTCAATCGGGCTTTGGCCGACGACGCCGGTCAGAAAAGCCTCGTTCACGCCTTCCGCTGAAAAGACCAGTCCAACGGCGCACACCCCGGACACGACCGTGAATCCGCCCGACGCAATCATAATGACCGGAACTGTAGGCGCGGACCATCGACCACCGTCGGCCCATATCTTCAACACGTAACCCGCCCCGGCGATTAACGTAATCCCCGATACGAAGCGGGCGATGCCGCCGATGCTGTAAAGCTCTTTGTTCGCGCGCGATGGCGGCCAGCGATTCCAGAAGTGTTGGCTGGTCTGCCCCCGACGCCACCCGGGTAACGACGGATACCACGGTTGCGATAGCCGTCAGGAGCAGCAGCGCCCCGGCCGTCCGGGCCGCGGCATGCCTTTGCGGCTCACGCGGTCCTGCACCCGGGGATGCGGAATTTGTTTCAAGTTGCCTCTGCATTCTTTCTATTATTCCTCAACCTTGTATCCGCTCCGGTGGAATTTAGCGTCGCGGGCCGCCACTGTTCAAAACGAAGGCCATATTATGCTTTCTTCCGAAGACGGTCAATGGGCGCGGTCTACCGTGTGCTCAGGACGTCAAGCAATGCCACCCTTTACTGGTCACTTCCACCAGCAAGTGGTACTCTGGCCTCCACTGGCAGCGCAGCCGATTTCAGACCAAGATTGAGGAGGCCTTAATGCTTATTGTTGATGCGCAGGTCCACATCTGGGGAACCGGACTGCCGACAAACCCCGCCCACCGTCAGATAACCTCCTTCCTGGCGGAAGACCTCCTCAAGGAGATGGATGAAGCCGGGGTTGACGCAGCGCTTATACACCCGCCGGGTTGGGACCCAACTCCAATCAGTTGGCTATAGAGGCCGCCCGCCAGCACCCCAACCGGCTTTCCATCCTGGGCAACTTCCCGGTGGACCGGCCCGAGAGCCGTGGCCTTGTTCCCGGTTGGAAGCAAAACCCGGGTATGCTGGGGCTGAGATTTTCTTTCCAAGGGGCCGGTCAGGAGAATTGGGTGTCCGATGGCACCATGGACTGGCTTTGGCCGGCAGTGGCCGAAGCGGGCATACCGGTGGCCCTTATGGCGTCGGGCTTTTTGCCTGTGGTCGGGCAGATTGCGGAGCGCCACCCCAACGTTCGGCTGATCGTCGACCACTTGGGGCGCACCCGCGGCGCCCAGGACGAGGCGGGATGGGCCAACCTGCCGGACCTGCTGGCCTTGGCCAGGCATCCCAACGTTGCTATCAAGGCCACCGGCGCACCCAGCTACTCCAGCGCTCCCTACCCATTCAGCAACATTCACGACTACCTGCACCAGATTTACGATGCCTTTGGCCCGGAACGCATGTTTTGGGGCACCGACATTACCCGGATGCCTTGCTCCTGGCGTCAATGCGTCACCATGTTTACCGAAGAACTTCCCTGGCTGTCCGACGCGGACAAGGACCTCATAATGGGCCGCGCCCTCTGCAACTGGATTGGTTGGGACCTTCCTGGCTGAGCAGTCGCGGCCTTGTGGGTACTTGGGCGCGGCGGACGCTACCCATTCCACAATTCTGAGAACTGAATAGCCGCCACCGCTTCATAAGGCACGTCCGCTGACAACAGACCGATGTCTTGGGCGAAACGGTTCACTCCGGCAACCGCTTCCTCGGTGATCAAGGGATCGTAATAGGGCAAGTCCCTGTTGACCAAGCCCGCAATCATGGCCGCTTCCTCTGCGGGAAACAGCCGTTCTCCTACAACGGTTGCCCGGGACACATCGTTCCGCAAGGCTTGCTGGGTCTTGACTATCGCCCGCACTGCCGCTGCGGTGCTGTCCGGGTCGCGTTGAACCATGTCTTCGGTCGTAACCAATGCCGGGAAGGTGTAGTTCTGGGCGCCAACAGGCCCAACGCCTCGCCTTACGTCGAGGACCACCGTGCCGACGCCGCTACGGATAGCTACCTCGCTGCCCATAGCGTTGGCCCAGAAGCCGTCGATAATGCCCTCCTCCAAAGCTTGGGCCGCTTGTACGCCGAAGGACACGCCAGGGCCGGAAGCGGCGGCAACGGGGCCTATTGCGACGTCGTCCGACTCCAAATCTATCCCTTCCTCTTGCAACAGCCGTTTCAAGGCCAGGTCCGGCCCCGGTGCGGCGCCTATGCGAAGCCCCTTCACCGCCTGTACGTCGCCCTGCTGCACGCCAAGGTCGGAACGTAGAATCAGCAGCCAGTAAGTGTGTCGCGCCAACGCCACGATCAGCTTGGCCCCTCTCCAATCAGGAAAAGCCGTCAGCACGGCGTGGGCCGGCCCCGCTACAAAGTCCAGCTCACCGTCTCGAAGTGCCTCCATTGTCCTGGGAATTGGGAACAGGTGCTCCAGCGTCACGTCCAACCCTTCAGCCTTGAAGAAGCCCAGTTCAACCGCGGCCACGGCGGGAAAGTATGAGTTGGACACCAAGTCAGGCACGGCCAAGCGCATTTGCCGCCTCCTTTGGATTATGCGAATTCGAAAACCTGCATGGCGATAGACCTTGCCGGGATCCCTTGGCTGTGGAGAATCCGCCGAATCTTTTCTGTAGTTTCACGGCTGAAGGTCTGTTCCTCGCAACGGACACACACCCTCGCGGGAATGCCATTGACCAGAACGTAGTTGCCTTCTATCCGAAAAATTTCTTCCACCAATTCCTCCCGGCTCTCATCCGCACGGCAGACCGCGCATGCAAATATGCTTACCTCCGCGTGGCATGATTGGACCATTATATTGGAACTGCTCTTCCGACGACTCGGCAGGGCTGAGCAACGAGGATACCATGATATACTCCACTCCCAAATGAAAAGCGCGGAAATGCCATGACGACATCGAAAAAAACATCGAAGCTGCTTACAGTGGATGACCTGCTCCGCCTCTCCAGCGAAGGAGTTCGTGGGGAGTTGATAAGGGGGGTGCTGCACGAAACAGTGTCTACCGGATTGAGACACGGTGAGATCGTGATGACCCTGGGAATACTGCTGGGAATGTTCATCGAACCCCTGCGTCTAGGTAGGCTGGCGGCCTCCGACTCCGGTATCCTGCTGCAACGCAGCCCCGATACGGTGCGGGAACCGGACATCGCCTTCATATCCGCCGAAAAGCTGCCTCTGGACGTGGACGTTCCGGGATTCTCGGAAGTGGTACCCGACTTGGTGGTCGAAATCGCCTCTCCCTCCGACAGCATCGCCGCAGTCAATGACAAGGCCCTGATGTGGGTCCATTTCGGTGTCCAGATCGTTTGGGTGGTGTTTCCCGAGTCACGCACCGTGGAGGTGCATTCGGCATCCGCTTCGCCGGTGCTACTGGGGCAAGAAGACCAGTTGGACGGCGGCTCCGTCCTTCCGGGGTTCACCTGCCAAGTAAGCGAAATATTCGAACGATAGGCCCTTGAGGAGGTCCGGTTATGGACAAGAAAGACATTCCCTTTCTCACGGCCACGGAACTTTCCAATCTAATCGCCTCCAAGGAACTGTCCCCCGTCGAGGCTGCCGAGGCATACCTGGACCGCATCGACGACCTGGACTTCCAGTTCAACTCCTACCTTACGGTCACCCGCGAAGAGGCCCTCCGGGCCGCCCGGCAAGCCGAGCAGGAAATCATGCAGGGCAACATCCGCGGCCCGATGCACGGAGTCCCCATCGCCGTCAAGGACCAGATGTGGACCAAGGGGATACGCACCACCGGCGGTTCCCGGATACTGGCGGACTTCGTGCCCGACGAGGATGCTACGGTCATCGCCAAGCTTAAAGACGCAGGCGCAGTCCTGTTGGGCAAGACCAACCTGAGCGAGTTCGCCATTACACCCTTTAGCCACCGCTTCAGCCTCCCGAGGAACCCGTGGGACTTGGACCTGTCCGCCGGCGGCTCCAGTAGCGGCTCGGGCGCGGCCACCGCAGCTTTTCTTTGCGCCACCTCTTTGGGTGAGGATACCGGTGGCTCCATCCGGCGTCCGGCGGCGTGGTGCGGCTTGGTGGGGATGCGGCCCACTTGGGGCTTGGTCAGCCGCTATGGGCTGATGAAGGGCATCTGGTCCATGGATACCGTTGGCCCTATTTCGAGGAGTGTGGCCGACGCGGCCATCACCTTAGGCGCCATCGCCGGCCATGACCACAAGGACCCTTATAGCTGGAACAAGCCGGTCCCGGACTACCTCGGCGCTTTGGACGGAGATATAAGCGGCGTCCGCATTGGCGTGGTCTCTGAGTTGCTTCACGATGAAGTGGTGGAGCCGGAGACCAGGGACGTGGTGCAAAGAGCTATTGCGGTCTTGGGAGAGTTGGGCGCGTTGGTGGAAGAAGTGTCGATACCCCTGACGGCCCACGCCAACACCGTCTCGTCGATTTTGCTCGCTGCCGAGCCTGCCCAGAACCAACGGGAGTGGGTGCTGGATCGGTTGGAGGACTACGGGCATGACAATCGGATAGGACTGCTCGTCGGGAGCCTGATGCCCGGCGTGGCGTACCTGAAAGCCCAGAAGCTGCGGAGTATGCTTCGGCAACAGGTCCACGAGACTCTGGAAAACTACGATGTCCTGGTGTCTCCCACGGCCGGGAGGCCGGCGGTGGCGCGCCAGGACGACCCGGTTATCACCAGCAAGGAGATGGCGGGGCGGATGCCCTACATGCGCACCAACACCTTCAACCTTTCCAGTACCCCGGCGGTCTCAGTGCCCTGTGGTTTCAACTCCGGCTCCCTGCCCATCGGACTACAAGTAGCTGGAAGGCCTGGTGGGGACGCCACCGTCCTCAAGGTGGCCCACGCCTACGAGCAGGCTACGTCCTGGCACACCATGCGCCCGCCCCACGCCTGACGGAAAGCAAAAAAAGCCCCTCTCCCATAGGGAGAGGGGCAAGATGAGGGCCGGTCCCACTTCACCCAACCATCTTCTTTGAGAAGAATCCCCATCGGACCTCTTCTGACGTCAAGCATGCACCGCTAAGTTGCGGCTTTGGTTTCCTGTTTTCTCTTCAGAGAGGCTTTGCCGGCGGTGGCCGGTAGCGCCTCCGGGAAGGGGTTGAAATAGTAAGCTTTTCCGCAACTTTGGCACACCATTGCCGGAAACTCCCAGTCGTATCTCAAAGCTCCCTGGCACTTCAAGCACTTTCTCATTTTCTCTCTCCTCTCCTTCTTACCTGATGATATTTCTAATTACGCACGAAAATGTAAATCGGTTCTTTTTCCAGTCACCCCCAGGGTATAGAATGGGGATGATTCCAAGGCTGGTCCTCTATAGTCCGGACCGATAGCCTTGAAATTCCCCGGACAAAAATAAACCCTTGCTCCAAGGAGGCCGAAGTGACCTACGTAGGCCAGTCTTTGAAACGTTTCGAGGACCACCGGTTGTTGGGTGGTGGAAGCTCCTACGTCGACGATATGAATCTCCCCGGACTGCTCCACGCCGCAGTGCTGCGCAGTCCCCACGCCCACGCCCGCATCAGATCCATCGACACCTCTCCCGCCAGCCGGTTGCCCGGAGTGGTTGCAGTGTTCACGGCTGATGACTTTGCGGGGGTTGTCGAGACTCTTCCTGCCAGGTACAGCGGCGGCGCCGACGCCGACCAGTTGAAACCGCCTCCTCACCCTGTTCTTGCCGATGGGAAGGTCGGCTATGTTGGGCAAGCTGTGGCAATCGTGGTGGCTGAAGACCCGCAAACCGCACTGGAAGGAACGGAACTGGTGGTAGTGGACTACGAGTTGCTCCCGACACTGGTTGACGCAGTAGAGGCGGCAGAAGACTCCGCACCTCTGCTGCACGAGGAGTTAGGCAGCAATGTGGCGTTGCGCACCGTCAACGCCGGCGGTGACTTGGACGCTGCCTTCGAACAAGCCGACCGGGTGGTGGAGCAGCGCTACCATGTCCAGCGGGTTGCTCCGGCCCCAATGGAGCCCCGCGGTCTGATCGCCGACTACAACGCCGATGAAGACCTTCTTACGGTCTGGGACTCCACCCAGCACCCCCACGAGGCCAGGGAACACTTGGTGGAGTTGTTGAAGCGGCCGGAGAGCAGCATCCGCGTGGTCGCCCCCGACGTTGGTGGCGGTTTTGGTGAGAAGGCCAGCTTCTTCCCCGAGGAAATAGCCGTCCCCTATATTTCCATGCTGCTGGCCCGTCCCATCAAGTGGCTTGAGGACCGGCAGGGGAACATGCTCTGCTTCCACGGGCGCGGCCACACCGTCGACGTTGCCGCCGCCGTGAAGAACGACGGTACGCTCCTGGGCATGAAGGTGGACATCTTTGCCGACTTGGGCGCCTATTTCCTCATGTCCACTCCAACTGTGCCGGTATTGACCAGCCACCGGATCACCGGCCCGTACCATACTCCGGCCATGAGCGTCGCCGTGCAGGGAGTCCTGACCAACAAGCCGCCCACCGGCCCTTATCGGGGCGCAGGCGGTCCCGAGGCGGCTTTCTGCATGGAACGCACCATGGATCTGATTGCTTCCGAGTTGGGCATGGATCCTGCCGACGTGCGGCGAAAGAACTTCATCCCGCCGGAAGCCTTCCCCTACGAAACCCCCACCGGCATCACCTACGACTCCGGCCAGTACGCCCTGGCTTTCGACCGCGCCGTGGAAATGGCCGACTATGCCGGTTGGCGGGAACGCGCCAAGCAGCAGGCTGAGGCCGGCGGCCCCATCATCGGCGTGGGGATCGCTACTGTGGTCAAGGGGTCGGGCGCTCGTGTCACCCGGTTGACCGACCACGCCAGGGTGATAGTTGACGCCGACGGCCGGGTTACTGCTCACACCGGCGTTTCTCCCCACGGCCAAGGAACGGAAACGACTTTCGCCCAGATGATTGCAGACGAACTGGGCACTACACCGACAAACGTTCGAGTCCTTCACAGCGATACCGACGTCCTGCCTCACGGCGGCGGTACCTCTGGCAGCCGCGGCATGATCGCCGGCGGCACCGTAATGCATATGGTATTGCAGGACACCCGGCAGAAGCTGCTATCCATAGCCGGCCATCTGCTTGAATGCTCCCCGGAGCATGTGACGCTGGTCGAAGACAAGGCGTTCGATAGCCAACAGCCCGACCGGGAGGTGTCCTTCGCACAAGTGGCCGCCGCAGCTTACGATGAGGAGTTGTTGCCACCCAGCCAGGAGCCCGGCGTCGACTTCGTGAACACCCACACATTGCATAGAAGTCCCTATGCTTTCGCAGCCCACATAGCCGTGGTCGAGGTCTCCCGGGAGACCGGAACGGTGAATGTCCTGAAATACATCGGCGTCCACGACTCGGGCAAGGTCATCAACCCCCTGCTCTTCGAGGGTCAGGCCCAGGGAGCCATCGCCCAGGGAGTCGGACAAGCCCTGTGGGAGGGCATGGAATACAACGCTGAAGGCCAGCCGTTGACCGGCACCTTTATGGACTATGCCATGCCCAAGTCAACCAACATGCCGGCAATGGACTTGGACACTGTTGAAACCCTGTCGGACATCACACCATACGGCCTGAAGGGCATCGGCGAGTTGCCAACGCTGGCTGCGCCGGTAGCCGTGGCCAACGCTGTGATGGACGCTCTGTCTAGCGCGGGCGTTCGGCACATCGACACCCCTTTGACCCCGGAAAAGGTCTGGCAGGCCCTCCAGGCCCGAGGTCAGTAGGCGGGTCCATGACGGACGGAACCCCGGACCGGCACGCCCTGAACGTCGCCCGCGCCGTCCAGAAAGAAGTGGCTCCGGCTATGGTAATCCTTTTCGGCTCGAGGGCCACTGGGCGGCACCGCGAATACTCTGACATTGACCTCCTGGTAATAGCCGGCGACAGCAGCAAACGAAGGGCGGAGATTGGCGCTCGGAACGCCGCCTATGCTTATATGAAATCTAATCCCCCAAGATTGGGATTAGATGTTGTCGGCATGACCAGAAAGGAGTTCGACTATCGCCGAAGAGCAAAACAGCATATCGCGGGCCAGGCCGCCCGGTACGGGGTGGTAATGAATGGCGAAACACTGGGACCTCCGCCGCACTACGAGGACGGTTATCCTGCCCACTGGCCGGAAACAAGACAGCGCATCCAGAACGCGGAAGAATACCACCACCACTTCAACGAAATGGTCGACGAAAACCATTGGAATCAAAAGACCCTGGGATTTCTTGGCCAGCAAGCCGTCGAAAACGCTCTGAAAGGCTGGCTGTCAGCCTACAACGACGACAGGACTTTCGGGCACGAACTTACCGCCCTTTGGAGGGACGCCGAGGGCATCGAGGACTGGAGCAACCCGGAGTTGGGTCCTCTCCACGAGTCCATGACAAGACTGTTCGACTACATAAAGTACGAAGACCCTGTGCAAACCGGTGAACAAACCGACTGGCTTACCAAGTACGGCGTGATATACCGCTACGCCGGCGCTTCCTATCAAATGACCCAGGAAGAACGGCTGCAACTGAGAGAAAGGATAAACGACGCCGTCAACTCCGTAATCAAACGAGTCCACGCCATCAGCGGGACCGCGGAATCCGACGTTTACCCGGAAGGCATCAAGCCTTGGGACGCCTGATTTGCGGTTGGAATGATTCGGGAATTATATACTTGTGTACCAAGCCGGCCGCGTGATTGCGGGTGGTATTACCCTTTCCTTACTCTGCCGTCAAACGAGGGCGTGCGTGTCTCATGTAGATGGTCAGGCATCCAGTAGAAAATCCATCTTGTTCACGAATTGCTGAACGGCCTGCAATCCCTCTTCAACTTGCTCTGGCAGAAACCAACCTTCGTAGAAGTTGCCGTGCAAACTATTGGCAACTAGGAACAAGCGGTTCAATGCAGTGTCACCGGTTTGCCGTACCAAGTCGTTTACCCTGTTATGGATTTGAACATGACTCGCATGGCCCCAACCTTGTTTCTCTGCCATGGCTTTTACCATCAGGGCCGTTGCGCCCCAAACTTTTTCAGAAGCTTGCGTGAGGTCTCTTTCGTCAAGCTCCTTGAACGCTTTCCGCAAATTATCTTTGCCGCGTTGTCGATATTCTGTCACCTTGGATACCATCATAGCTATGCCTCGGTATGGGCCGATGGCCGTTATGCAATATCTACATAATACCGCACAGGGTGGCACTCTGCTATTCCTAAACTTCGCCCCTGACTTCCATCCGGCACAACCCTATGGCCCTCGTCGATTTACGGTCATGATTGTCCGCCAACGGTTCAAATAAAATAATTGACATTAAACTGGCTGCATTATTTAATAGAAGCTTAACAACTTAAGGGTTGTTTGGATGCTCGGAATTGGGGATAATCGTGGTGCCGGCAAGGAGACGGGCCGGTAATACAATTACGACAACCTAAAGGAAGGAGTGGACTATGGCTGACCAGGATATCGCTTAATGGCCCATCTGCTCCGTCGGGCTGGTTTCGGCGCAAGCCGCGACGAAATCGAACGGAGGGTAGCCCAAGGCTATGACAGCGTGGTCGAAGAGCTGTTGGAGGCTGGTGACGATCCGGGCATCGACGAAGACTTGATGTACCGGGCGTACCCGTCTTACTTCGACAAGGGTGCGATAGAGACCGGGCAGACCGAGTGGGTCTACCGGATGATCAACAATAAGTACCAGTTGCAAGAGAAGATGTCCCTCTTCTGGCACACCATCTTTCTGTCGAGGAGGGATTCTCGACAACAGTGACAGCGTCGCTGACCGCACGCACGATCCAGATAGACAAATTCCGGGAACAGGGCATGGGCAACTTCCAGGACCTGCTGCTGATGCTGTCCACCGACCCCGCCATGCTTTACTACTTGGACCACATTGAGAGCCACAAGACCGCCGTCAACGAGAACTCACGGGGCTAACGCGAACGGCCCGCGA